GGGCCCATTGATAGCACTTCATATACCCATTCAGGCAGTTCAATTTTTACAAGTACCTTAACTGATCGCTCATTTCTCCCCCCAAGAGGTTTATCTTGTCTCTCGGACAGTTTTTCTAACTTTTTTCTATGGTTTTCTGATGTTGTCTTTAAGCTTGCCTCAACTTGACGCCTCACGAGTCGGAAAATGGATGCCCACCACTGTTTGTCAATTTCTTTTTGCACCAGTGATCTTGCTTTCCTTAGCATCTCCTCGTACCTTTTCCTATCCTCATTTGCCCTAGAAGTTTCAGTCCTTAGTAGTTTCAATTGAAAATTATGCACATCTTGGTCCGAAAAAACCCCGTTCTCGGGGACCCTAAACTTCAAAAAGTCCGGTATTAGATCGTTTTTCAGACATTTTCTCAGAAACTTCAGTCTATGTACAGATACTTGAACTTTTTTAAAGAATTTTAAATGAAGCTTCAGTCTATGTACTAAATTTTCAGAATTTTACTGAAAATTTAGTCCCAAAATATTTTTGGTTTTTTATTCAAAACGTACATGTCTAAATCGAAATTATGACTCAGAAACTTCCAGACAAATTAATTTTAAAATGTTTAATTAATTTTAGAGGTTAAAAGTATTTTAATCTTAATAGTAATTTAGAGGTCAACTGTGATTGGCTAATTTTTTATCATGATGGTTTAGAACCAAATTGTATGTGATTTATTGTAAATAACATTTGTAAATTGATGTTTTATCGTCATTTAGAGTAGTTTATTGTAAAAATCCTGACGATGCACATAGTTGCGAAAACGTTTGAAATTTACTTTTTAGCAAAAATTTCTTCAATTTTACTTGTAAATTCGTGATAAACCAAAAAGCGAAGAGCTTGAAATTCCAACTGTTTTCCCATTAAAGGGCCAGTATAAAAATTTTTAATGATTTTCATCAATGTAATGAGAATTTTTATAGTGTTTTTTTTTTATCGATACGTAAAAAATGGCCGATTTTTATTTGAGTTACCGAAATGTTTCATATTGTAGCAGCTAGCTCCCTGTTCCACAGCATCAACACCCTTAACACAGGGGAAAAAAAGCAATACGAGAGCCTTGTTACAGCAATTCCTGGCCTATCCCTTAATAACAACTTGCTGAACCAAGGAAAGAACCTCCGACGACTACTCGAAGACAGTCCACTGAAGGAGAAAAAAGTGGTTGTGTGGCACGACGTGGTGAACAACACCATTAGCAGCCACAGAACAAACAACTATCGCCCAGCTGGTGTCGAGGAGCTGACAAACTATTTGAAGACGAAGAAGCAGCAGATATTGGCGATCGTTTATTGCAGAAGGGAAGGAACGCCCGACTTGTTTAGTCAACTTCTCGGCACAGGGGTGCTCATTATTCCAGCTACAAAACGACTACTCTCCAAGAGCAAGCAAAACAACCCGGAGCAGCTCAAGGAATATTTGAAGCTGCACCAGAGTGCTGATTTGGAGTTGAAATCTCTGCGATTGGTAGTGGCACACAAAGAAAGGCTGTCAGAGCTGATTGGCAATATCAGGGGCAAACAACAGAGACCGTCACAGACAAGGAGGAAGGCGAAAGCAAGACGTGAGCAGAAGCTGAGGGCAGAGGAAGTGTCTGCGCTTCAAAGGCAGGGGTGAGAAGAGTGTGATTTGTTTTGCTTTGTGCCTTGTGAGTTTCATTACTCGTGGCCTGCAAAACAATGACCACAGTACTTTTGCCTGCTGTTTGGCTCAGACAAATTTTGAAAAGGAAAGTAACTTGGAAAATTGTGTTAGACTATTTAAAATTCTTTAAAAAAGTTCAAGTATCTGTACATAGACTGAAGTTTCTGAGAAAATGTCTGAAAAACGATCTAATACCGGACTTTTTGAAGTTTAGGGTCCCCGAGAACGGGGTTTTTTCGGACCAAGCTGTGCATAATTTTCAATTGAAACTACTAAGGACTGAAACTTCTAGGGCAAATGAGGATAGGAAAAGGTACGAGGAGATGCTAAGGAAAGCGAGATCACTGGTGCAAAAAGAAATTGACAAACAGTGGTGGGCATCCATTTTCCGATTCGTGAGGCGGCAAGTTGAGGCAAGCAGCTTAAAGACAACATCAGAAAACCATAGAAAAAAGTTAGAAAAACTGTCCGAGAGACAAGATAAACCTCTTGGGGGGAGAAATGAGCGATCAGTTAGGGTACTTGATAATATTGAATTGCCTGAATGGGTATATGAAGTGCTATCAATGGGCCCCAAGCATCCAATTAGAGACAAATTTAACGAAACACATTTTTTGGCGGATATCGACATTTTCCTCTCACAATTGAAAAATCAAAAAACATCTGGTGAAACGTTATGTGAAATAGAAGCCGCGGCAAAGGCATATGCAAAAAACGTACGGCAAACCCCAAGAGACAAAGCCGTTGAAAAAACGAGGAAATATCTCAAAGATAATGGGTTGCTGGCTGTGCCTTTTGATAAGGGGGTTGGTTTTTCCATAATGAGGAAACAAACATATGAATCAAAGCTGGAATCCTTGTTGCAATCTGCTCAGTTTGTGAAAAAAGATGCAACCACTGATGAGGTGATACTGAAAATTGAGAAAGAACTTAACAAAGAGTTACTAGCCATGAACAAAAGAGACGAGATAAGTGATCAGTTATATTCTAAGATACGATCAACAGGGGGGCAACCCGCCCGTTTGTACGGTTTAGCTAAGGTACACAAGGATGAGACACCCCTACGACCTGTACTATCACTTCCCGGCAGCTCGTATGAGAATCTTAACAAAATGCTTGCGAAGTTTTTTGACAACATCGATGGAGCAAATATAGAAACCAATACTAAAGAGGCTAGAGAAAAAATAGAAAACATTGCTCTAGATCCGGATGAAACCATAATATCTCTTGATGTGAAAAGTTTGTACACCAACGTTCCCCTGAAGGAGGCAATTGAAATTGCTTTACAGAAGCTGTACAGCCAGGAGTCTCCTCCTGAAATTCAAAGAGCAACCATGAAAAAGCTTTTGAATATGGCGGTCAGCAAAGTATATTTCAAGTGTAATGATTCATGGTATGTACAAGTTGATGGTTTAGCAATGGGAGCGTCCCTCGCTGTAATTCTGGCAAACTTATGGCTGAAAGAATACGAATTTGCTCTACGACAACAAATACCGGTGGGAACGGGGGTACAGCAAATTAATGACAAAAACGGCTTGTGCCCATGTTGCAGCAGGAAAGTCACATATAGATCAAAGGGGGTTGAATGCGAGAGTTGCCGAAACTGGTATCATCTAAAATGCGGAAAAATATCCGATGACGTATACGCATCAATAACCGAGATAGTCTGGTACTGTGAAATCTGCTGCCGAGCTAAGAACAAGGAGAAGGATACTCCCCAGATGAAATTGTTCCTCAGGTATGTGGATGACATTGTTAGAACAGTCAGAGGGCAGCCGAGTTGTCTTCTCGATGCCGCCAATTCTCTTCATCCAAATTTGCAGTTCACTCTAGAGAAAACTAATTCGGAGGGGAATTTGCCGTTCCTGGATTTGAACATAAATATATCGCAGGATAGGCGTGTAACTTGCAGTTGGTATCAAAAACCAACAGATACAGGGACTATACTGAACTATAGAAGCTGCGCCCCAACTCAGTATAAGCGTAGTGTTATCCAAGGCACTGTACACAGGGTTTATAGGAGTACATCTAGCTGGGAGCAATTTGATAAGGCTATGGAAACTAATAGGGCGCAATGGCTGACAAATCAGTACCCTGAAAATTGGTCCGCAAAGGTGGCTTCAGACGCCTTGTGCAAGATCATCGAGGGTAAAGGCAAGCCCCTGGATAGTGACAGGGGTTTGTCAGTTCAATCACCAAAGGATGAAAAGCCCCCAATGCTGATGGTGCAATATAGAGGTAACCAGAGCCAATATTTTGCTAACAGGTTACGAAAATTAACGAACGTTCAAGTGGTTTTCACCACAAGAAAACTACAATCATGTTTACCATCACTGAAGTCAGCATTTTCTAATGACCTCAAGTCAAGAGTGGTTTATAAACTGTCATGTAGTGGATGCACTTCCACCTATGTCGGACAAACTGTTCGACATTTGACCACTAGAATTGAGGAACATAGGAAAGCAGACTCACCGGTAGGCCTCCACCTTCAGCAATGCCAACTTGAGGGAAATAGCGCAGATCTTAGTTGAGAAATTATAGATAGGTCAAACAACCAAACAAAATTGCTAACACTAGAGGCAATACATATCAGGAAAGAGAAACCGGGCTTGAACACGCGCGATGAGTTTAGGAGCAGGGAGTTAACACTGAAAATTTAGTCCCAAAATATTTTTGGTTTTTTATTCAAAACGTACATGTCTAAATCGAAATTATGACTCAGAAACTTCCAGACAAATTAATTTTAAAATGTTTAATTAATTTTAGAGGTTAAAAGTATTTTAATCTTAATAGTAATTTAGAGGTCAACTGTGATTGGCTAATTTTTTATCATGATGGTTTAGAACCAAATTGTATGTGATTTATTGTAAATAACATTTGTAAATTGATGTTTTATCGTCATTTAGAGTAGTTTATTGTAAAAATCCTGACGATGCACATAGTTGCGAAAACGTTTGAAATTTACTTTTTAGCAAAAATTTCTTGAATTTTAAATAGTCTAACACAATTTTCCAAGTTAGTTTCCTTTTCACAATTTGTCTGAGCCAAACAACAGGCAAAAGTACTGTGGTCATTGTTTTGCAGGCCACGAGTAATGAAACTCACAAGGCACAAAGCAAAACAAATCACACTCTTCTCACGGATTAATTCGGACAGTTTTTGAACTTGCAAAATATTAATTATCATTTTGCAATTAAAGTGTTCAATTTTTTCTTCTTACTGAGTTTCTAAGAAAGTTTTACATTCAGTCTCGGATCCTATGACAGAACCAAGTACTCTGGCCCTTTCTTCCTTTCTTCATTTATGCTTAAAATATGTTTCAGTGTACGATGCAATCAGCTTGAAATGGCTCTTAAGTTAAGAAAGCTAGCGCAAAACCAGCAGAAGGTAGTTTTTGTTCCGGTATTGGTTATTTCGAATTGTCAAAATTAAAAAAAAAAACTTTTTTTTTCAGCTGTTCTTTCGACTGTTTTCCAAGACGCATTCAGAAGCTGGTCATCGTTAGTACTTTTTAATACTTCATCAGTAGTCCGTTGTAGTCAGTAGATACTAATCAGTAGTCCGTTGTTTTCAGCGATTAAAGGTTTTAGGGTAGTTGTTTATAAATTCAAGTCAATTCCTGTTAGCTACACTAGTGGACAAAGTTAAACGCAAATTCAGTTTTTTCTCTAATATGCTCTTTTTCAAGAACCATTTTGAAGCAGGAGCATATTTACTTACAACCTCAGAACAAAACTTTAAAATCTACAGTTAGCAAATAATCTGAACTCTCCTTTCTGAAAGACTCAGTTATTGATTTGAAGCACTTACCATTGTTATCGGGTCTGGAAAAGCCAGTTTTCACCATTTGTAATGAGTTTTCTAACTGTGTGAAGTTATAAGGAGCAACAAAGTTAAGTGCAGTTGTCACACTGAGTCATGAAGTTTTCTCTTTTACGCAATCGAAAAAGTGTTCACTCCCATAATAAATGGTGAAAAATGACATTTTAATACCGGAATGAATACTTTCAGAAAAGTTAATTCAGATCATCTGCGGTCGATGAAATTTTTTGTTAAGATTTTAGTAGATATTGTCCAAATTGTCTTACAATGAGGCATTTTTAAGAGAAAACACGTCAATCCGCGTTCAAATATTTGAAATGTTGATATTTATATTACCATGCAAAAAAATCTTTCTTTGAAAAAGAATATTAAGCGCCTTAAATTTTAAGCGCATGAGACAGTAGTTCAACTAGTGTATAGTGGGCTACAACGTGAAAGCCAGATTAAATTAGACACAAAATACCTTTCAGCCGAAATATCTGTGGAACGAGGAATGCCGGTTCTGACTATCCCACTCCCCTCGAGGAGAGAAAAATGCCAGTTTACTCTTAGACCGATTGGTGCAACTGTTGGTGACCTTTTAGACGATATCTCAAAAGAGGACGGGGGAATCGACAGAGCTGCTGTTTTTACAACAAGTTAGATGATTCCTTTTTTAAAAGCTGTTTAAAATCAGTCAGTAGACGCAAATTATGTATTACTAGATGACGTAAGAGTTTCCAAATCAACAAAATTGGGTGATCTGCTGATGAATGACTTCAAACTAGTGATTAATTCGGACAGTTTCACAATTCCGGCGACTAGACATGGTTGGTTCTTTTCTATTCATTCATTTTGATTTAAAAAATTAATTCTAACTATTCTTTGATCGTGAAGGCGCTTTTGATTCGGAGCATTCGACTGAACTTGACAATACCAAGAGTCTAATCTACACGCTGTACACTAGTTTAAATGCAGAAGAGCATGCTCTTGAGAAAGAGAAGAGGTTGATCACAGATCTGGAACAGCTCCGCCTAGAAATAGCTCCCCTTGAAAAGGTATATTTACTAAGTTTTTATCGTTGTGCTTGCAATATGCTTGTTTATAAATATAAATTATGAAGTCTTCATCGGTTGAAACCCCTCGTAATGACATAATCGCTTTCTATGCTGATTTCTCAAAGGTGTTTGACAGAGTACCACATCAGCAAATACTACAAAAATTACCGACCAGAAAGTCACTACATGAAAACACCATGGTATGGAATCAACTTTCTTGACAGCGAGTTCACCACATTTGACGGAGTCTAGGAAATTGAGGGTATTCCTTCATCTCCTGAATTCCAACACTCATGCATCGAGCTTGAGTGTATCCAACATTTCGATGAGACAACGAGACGTATAGCTCAGATGGACGAGCTATGGTGTGATTGCCACCAACAAATCTCAGGGGATCTACGACGAAATCACCCATGAATGGTTGCCCGATATTGGTCCTATAGCAAGCAAAGCTTCCGGGAAATTCACTTCTAACCAAATGAAACTACGGCAGACTCTGATTGTTTCCAGCATCAATGTATGGATAAATTGGATTCAGTGAAGCCAACAGGCTTTTCCAATGACACCGCAAAGTCTCGAAAGGTGATTTTGCATCAGTACCAGTTGATGCCGAAACATTATAAAATGTGGCAAAGTTCAGCCAACCAGTTGACAAGGAAGCAGTAATCTCTTGAAAGCAAGAATTGGTGCACTCGGACCCCATTATCTGTTCGATTAGTTGCCTAGTTTTTTGCTAAGAAGCATACTATAATTTAAGAAAAAGATTTTACGAGATCCTAAACAAACTCTGCTCAAATCTGAAATAATGCTAAAAAACCAAAAAAAACAAGAGCAACTAAACTTTGACAGTCGCATTCGGCATGATTACCCGAATAAAACTACCCATGAATAGTCAATAATTAATTTTTTCAAGTTAAGAGGTCGATTGATCCTAAAAAGGGGCCAACTTTGACCCCGTTTTTCCGAAAAAATCGAATATCGAGAGCAAACTGGCTACCAGTGCGCTTCTCTGGCTTGCCCTGTTGACAGGAATCATCCAGTTGACCTGTAAAAGTTTTTCGCAAAAATTAAGCGGATTTCACCTGAATCATAATGTGGCCAACCTCGACGAATTTTTATTAGTGTGAAAAATTCAATAAGCAACCTCTATTAAGGGCCAGAACGTGTTCCTAATGAAAGTTTCTCCCAAAATTGTTCAAATTGCGAAAAACACATACAGGAATCCACTCAGCATTCGCTGGCTAGCTAAGACTCCCATAAAAGGGGAAAATATATAGAGTCCTTTAAAGGATTGAGAGCAACCTATTAGCTTCGCTTGAAGGCATTCGACCATCTACGATTACTCGCCGGATGATAGCAAGCAATTTATGACGAGTTCTTGATCCCCTGGGTTAAGTGACCCCTGAAGCGATAATGCCCAAGAATCTATTCCAAAAAACATGGAACGGAAATTAGGAATGGGATGGCGATGTTGGGGTACATATAGCGAAAAAATTCCAACACTGGATTGATAGCCTAAGTTTTTTTCTCTTCCATGGCTGTGCCTCGATACTTGGCCTAAGATTGCTTTCACCAAGTCGATCTTCACCTCTTCTGCTATGCCTCGGAGATTGCTTCTAGATCAGCTTCCTATGCGAGGACAACTTCAAACGCAGGAATCCCCACTTCATTGCTAGCCGCCAAGTCGCGATTTGCATCAAGGAAGACAGTTTCCATTTCTTGACTAAGTTTTTTTAAATAGTTTTGGGCTGTGAACTCCCGAGATGTTTCTTGAAGTCATCAAAACTTTCAATTGGTGATAGATGTCAGCGCCTGGAGTGATTGAACAAAAGTTGTTGCTTTGATTAGGTATTCTACTTTGGTAGCCACTTAAACACGTTCCGACTCATCAAAACCCAGCTTATCATTGAATTTAACCTGTAGCATCAGCTGAACTTCAGTATTTGCAGCTTTAGTGGTCAGGACCCTCTTGGTTGCAGAAAACTCAATTTGTATTCCATTACAACCAAAAGATCTCGAAAGGAAATGTATCGGGGCTTTAGTCGCAAAGTTCGCCCTGAAACTTCTGAAGAAGAACACCGACTATCGCAATCCATTTGAAAATTGGGACTGAACCTCCTTGTACAAGAAGCTCGGGGAAGAAATGAAAGCCTCGGCCAAACCTGACACCTTTACGCGGTGGCAGAGATGGGAGATTTTTCCTCAAAGTTCCAGTATTTCCGGAAGTCGGCGAAGACCCGGGTTTTTGGATGGGCTTCCTGGTAGCTCCGCGAGCCTGAGACGCCGTTCCCTTCTCATTGCGGGAGACATCGAGTCAAACCCCGGGCCGAGAATCGTGTACAGCTGCCCTCACTGACACGAGCGTTGGGAGAGAATCCATCAAGTGTGCTGACTGCTCCTACTGGTTTCATCGGACCTGCATGGGGATGACCGAGAGAGAGAGAAAGAGCTCATCAGCTGGGCCACCTGGAGGTGGGATTATGGTTGCGAAAAAAAGTTGAACACCCATTACAACCTTTACGAGTGTTAGAGAGTCCTGCACCTCGCAGACCGAAGCCCAACACGAAGTCATGCAACATTCTCCAGCTGAACATCAACGGCTGGAGATGAAGGAAAGCTGCCTGGGACAAGCCTCGGAGACCGAAGCAGCGTTGGTCTTGCTGCGAGAGACGAACTTGACGAGCAAGAGCGAGACTCCTAGCTGCAAAAGCTACACAGTCTTCACAGAAGAATGAAGGATTCAACGCACTGGTTCCGACTTCTGCCCATATGGCTGCCTTAGAGTCCATCGGCTTGAAGGTGAAGCTTGGCAAGAAGCCGCTGGGAATTTGGAACCTCTACAGGCCCTCGGCTTCGGACCATAGAGACGCTGACCTCCACGTTGAGTTCTGGCCATCCGGATAAGATGTCATCCTCGGTGGCAATGTCAACTGCCATGGCATATGGGGCCAGTTCTTTGAAGAAGACATTCTGGGCGCCATCTTTGACGAATGGCTGCTGGACAACACAATGAAGATCATCAACGACGGTTCCCCGACAAGGAACTCCTCTCAGGGTGCCCCGACGTGTCCATAGTCGGCTGCAACAACGCCCAGAGAGTCACTTGCACCACACTCGAGTCCATCGGCTCGGATCACCTCTCGATCCTGATCAGCACTGATCAGAAGCTGGAAGCTCAGTCAGTGAAGAGCCTGAACTACAGGGAGACGGACTGCGACGTCTACAGAAGAATTTGCCGCGAACTGTTTAGCAGAGATTGGCCTGAACAGTCACTGAAGACAGACAACAAGCTGTTTGTCAAGCTCGTTCTTGAAGCTAGAAAGAAAAGCACTCCCACCACGACCAGGAAGAACTGCTTGTCGTGGTGGATCCCCGAGTGCACAACAGCAAAGAAGCGCTGCAACAAAGCTCTCTCAGTAGCACGCGAAGACTCCGGGAACAGCGACAAAGCAGAGGCTTAAGGCTGGCACGCAACAGCTTTGACCAGACCATCCAGAATGAGAAGACCAGAACCTGGAAAGAGTACGTGAGAACTTTGGACCCGACTGTTCCCTCCACCAAGGTCTGGAACACCCGTGGACGGCCGCAGCAAATCCGCCCTCCCGAACAAGTCAATTCTCAACTTCAACGGCACAGTCTTCAGCGAAGACATAGACAACGCCGAAACCGCTGTTCAGCAATACGCCTCGATTAGCACCGTGAAGATCAAACATGAAGACTCCTCTGCCGCCTACCAGGCAGTCCGTGCCCGGAATAGAGAAGATACCGCACACAACCTCAGTGCTTACGAATTCAGTGCTTACGAGCTGGATGATGCTCTTTACATGGTGAAGAGCGGGGCCTGCGGCCACGACAATATCCATCTGCTCTCTCTGAAGAGGCTCCCTGAAGTCGCCCGCTACCGTCTGTTAGAGATATACAACAGAAGCTGGACGGAAGCCCGCATTCCCTCGGATTGGAGGATGGCGCAATCAATAAGAATCCGGAAATCCTCGTCGAAATCAGGGTTCACCGCGCAGACAGACAAGGTCGTGAAGAAGATGAAGAGTCGACCGAAGATCATAAGTGCCCTCAGCGGAAAGTCGTGGGGTCTCTCAGCCTCGGATCTCCGCACGCTTTACAAGTGTTACGTCAGGCCAGGTGGTTTATTTGCTGCTGGATTTTGGTACCCCTTCCTCTCCGGCACCAGCTGCTCGAAACTCGAGGTTGCCAACAACTCAGCCGCCAGAATCATAGCAGGTCTGCCGTCCGGCTCCCCTTCCGTCCCTGTCTGCACAGAAGCGGGTTTTCCTTCGATCAAGTTTGTTGCCGAAGTTGAAAGTGCGCTTCACTTCAACAAAATTGCTAGTCTGCCAGAAGAACACCATCTGCATGACATAACGACCACCAGAAGTTTGAGACCCAGACTGAAGTCCAGGGGCGAGTCCAGCCTCCGAGACTGCTGGAGATCGAGAAGCAACTTTGTCATCTCAATAACACCAAACGGACGACACCTTTGAAGCTGCAGCGAAGACGACAGTAGAGAGCAGACAAGAAGACCTCTAACGCAGTAAAGTCGACCAGAAGAGCTTTCATGCAAGGTATACAAACGGGAAGATGCTAGCCAGTGCGATGGGCCCGTTCAAGATCCGAAGAAGTAGACCTGTCCAGACTGAGAGTAAATAGCGCGCCTTTCCTCCGCCAAGTCGCCCATAAGTTCGGAAGAGAAGAATCAGATTTATGCCCTAACTGCGAACTAGCAACAAAGACATCAGATCACTTTCTCTTTCTTTATCCCACATGGCTAAATATCAGAAACAAAATCTTCGGCCCGAATCCTGACTACAATGTCCTACAGGAACAGCCGACTAAAGTCCTGGACTATCTTCGCCGCACTGGGCATTTATGCCCTCCGAATCTGGGACGGGAGTCACAACAAACTACAACAACAAGAAATGAAAGCAATCAAAAAACGGAAAAGACACTAGCCGGTCATCAAGCCTGCTTCAGTTGTATCCATTGTGGACGACTCGCAGCAGCTGATTGCCTAACCGAGAATTCAAAATATCAGATGAACGCTCATTTCTCATGCCTCCGAACACTCATTTCTCGAGAACTGTGATTCGCCATAGAAACCTTATCAACTGCACTGGACTGAATTCCAGTGTTGCTGACACTCGAGAGCAGTTCTGGATCATGCGAGCCAAGACGCTGGCGCGAGCAATGATCAGCAACTGCATAACTTACTTCAGGTTTCATATCAGAACAATGGATCAGCTAATGGGAGAATACCCTAGCGAGCGAACTCAATCCAACACCACCCTTTTCCTACGTTGGTATCGTACTACAAGCATGCCGATCAACTACTCGAGTTTTTGACCGTAATACTACTCTTAATTCTGGACAAGGAAAGTCAAATCGTCGCCAGCATTCTCCTACGTTGGTATCGACTCAGTCGGACCAATGTACTCTAAGATGCCGATCAACTACTCAAGTGTTTGATCGGAATTCTTTTCTACTCAAAAAGCACTGTAGAAAAAAGCAGAACTTGAAAAGAGGAGATTTATTATACGTAACCGATGATGTTAACTGCCTTTTTCGTGGCCACTTGGCATCGCGGAAAATGTATGTGCTGGAAACGATAGTTTAGTGAGCGTAGGTAGAGCAAGTTGAAACAGGAAGTGAAGCTAAGTACGTGAGAGATTTTATGATTTTGCAAATTGGCGATAAAAGAAAAAAAAACTTTACTGATTGATCAGAGATCAATGGGGGCGGCAATGTTGGAGCAAACAAAGCATGTTTTAATTAATACGCTAATTTTTTTCACAGGTAAACTCAAAGATGCATGCTAGTTTTCCCATAATTTATTTTTTCCTTCGCCCGCAGTTTATAGTAAATAATTCATCTTTCATTTAATCTTCAAATGATAAAGTTGCTTTCCAGCTATCGCGAAATATTCAACCGGCCTGAAATTTTTGATTTTTCGTGTATTTTCGAGCTAGTAAAACGAACGATTATCGTTCTTTAGATATGAAATATAAAAATTAGGACTAAAAAAAATTGAGTTTAGACCTTTTCTGGCTGAAAAAACTATCAAAAATTATTGGAACTGTTAGGGCAGAAAATTGAAAAAAGTCATTTTTTGTTTATTAAATTAAGAGAAAATTGGAATCTTATATGCTTATTTTATTAAGCTTCCAGTGTTTGTATAGTTCTACCATCACACGACATACAAAAACAGACTAATTTGAAGAAAAGAATTTTTTCTGAGAATGTCGGAACATTCTGTGCTACTCGCACGGCAACCGGCTATCCTTGTTTACACCATTTCAAAGCCTTTTGAAATGTTAGTGACATCTTTTGAACAAACCGTATTTTCAATTGAAAGTCAAGAAAAAATGCATGCTCAAATGTGTGTTCATTAGTTCTTTTGAAAGGCGCTATTGACATTCTGGAGGGCCATCCACTGATGACATTGCAGCAAGTGAATTTTGCGTTGAGAGCGCACTTACCCCAAAAACCCTATTTTACCCAACAAGCACTATCAAAAGCTTTAGAAGGGAGAATGATCACTTTCAAGATTGCGAGAGATTGTCCTGCAGAGCGTAACAGCGAAGAAAATATACCATCAAAAGATCGTTACAACTGCATTGTGGATCATGAGCCCTGACGTCATAAGTTCGCCAAAAATTTTATTGGATGAATTTGGTGTAAATATCCACATCCGGCGTATTCAAGGGCGATCTGCTAAGGGTGACAGTGTTTATAGAAAGGTCAGTGCTCAGAAAGGAACCAATGTTAGAATCTGTTGTGCAGTTTCCACGGAAGGCGTATTGCATTATCAGGTAATTCCACGAGGAATGAAGAAGGAAGTTTTCAAAAATTTTCTCGAAGCTCTACGTGGAAACATTATCCTTGACGATGGGAACGATGCTGATGGATTTAGGATTTTTGACAATGCTCGCGGGCACAGAGGAATTGAAGATATGGACCTTAGTGGAATATTCCCTCTGAAGAGGCTCCCAAAGTACAGCCCATTTCTAACTTTGGTTGAAGCTGCAATTTCGTGCTGGAAAGCGGCTATGAAACGAAAAATGCAAGAAGAGATGGATTTGTTCATCAGCGTTGATGCCTTGAAGGAGCCAGGACAAACACTTCAGGATTACAGTTTCCGTCATGTCAAATCTATTGTGGAACGAACAAGTTGTGAGATTACCCCACAGAAATGTGTTGGTTGGTACAACCATACGATGACATATATCCCGGATTGTTTGGCCAGGAATAAAATAGATGGATGAACAATGGATGTTGCATAAAAACAGTTGATTCTGTATACTATATTCTATTCTCATTCATTTGAAAAAACATGTTTTCAATTGAAGTCACTTGTGAGCACTCCATCGTTTCTCTATTCTTTAGAACTTACGAAATAAATGTTCTTTCAATAGAAGTTACCTATAATTCTTTTCAAATTACCGATTGTTCAATAGGCTTTGAAAAGGTGTAATAGCAAAATTAACTGGTTTTTGTTTAAAGCGTTGGAGTAGGGGCTAAGGTATCCGCCTCTCAAACGGTGGTTTGGGGATCACGGTAATCTTTTCTCATTGCAACAAGAAAGAAGTACATAAGCGATTCGCCGTGATGAGCTGAACAGCTGGAACGTTGGCCTTTGTCCTCGTGGGTAAATTGATAGTTTTAATTGTAGTGTGTATTTTGTTGTAGTTGAAGGAAGAACTGATTAAGAGCGCAGAGAGAAGAAGTGCTGTTGTGATGTGGGTAGGCGGTGCCTGGATGGCGTTCCAGTTCGGCCTGTTCGCCAGACTGACCTGGTGGGAGTACAGCTGGGACATAATGGAGCCAGTGACCTACTTCGCTGGCTACTTCACGGCAATGGTGGCCTACGGATATTACCTCATAACCCGACAGGTAATGCTCGACACAAATCACGTACAAATTGACATGGCAGTCTCGACTCCCTCTTCCAATCCTCCTCTCGATTTCAATTATTGTTCAGGTGTTTTCGGATGAAATCTAATAACAGCGCTGGAAACAAAATTAATTACCTTGTGATGAATCTCAATGTGGCCCGACAGTTAATGACTTCACCAAACGCATAACTTTCACCAATTTTTCTATGATCGCCTCTTTCAATCATTGAGATATTCCACTTGTCTCTGGTTCTCCAAGTCGAGCTCGCTTTAATTTAGTTTGGCCATTCTAAGTTAATCTGCTGTTTTCCAACAGCAAAGATTGTGTAATGGTCATTCAAAGAACTAAAGAAGACGGCAGGTTTCTACGTTTAAAGGATGTCGGTTTAGGAGTACATTCTTCCAGACGTGAAGAACCGTTCGTTCCTCATCAGTTTCTACAAAGGATCGAAGAAGAAGCAGTTTGACGTGACCAAGTACAATGACCTGCGAGATCAAATAGCCCAGATTGAGCTGGACCTGAAGCGTCTCAGGGACCCTCTGGCTCTTCACTTGCCCATCCTTCCTCCCAAAACTCCAGATGAAGTGGGCCCACGTGAATAATCTAGCAGGGTGTCATATGAAAACTTTGACGATACCGAAACTTCTGGCCCGCTGATTGCTTGTTGTCGAATTGTCGTCAAAGAAGCTCTGAAATTGCAGATATTAATGTTGATAGTCCCAACTACGCGTTAGATGTCTATCTTTTTTTATTTTTCATTTAAAGTGAAAGGCGTTACTAGATTTGCTTTATAAGCTTATGTTACAAAATAGATAATTGACTGCAAGTGTAAATTCTTAACTTTCACATTTTTGTCGAATTGCAGACACAGATGCAGTTAAAAACGTGCCACAGAATGTGAATTTTGCAGACTTAAATAATTAACGCTAATTAGATGTGCCTTTACTGATAATATCGTAAAAAGTTTTGAACGAATTTATTCAAATTATATCTCCTTTTTTCATTAGCTTCCGTTAGTTAACAATAAAGAGGTATAGAAATTTTTGTTACTTTAACCCGAGGTAGATTTCTACATTCGAACAGTTTTAATCACAATGGGTGTAGTTGTCTCTCGTGATGGAATGAAAGCTCCGGCGATTAAAAAGATACAGAGAAAAAACAAAGATGAGATAACCGGTTGTTGTGTTAGAAAAACAGAATATTCCAATCACTTTCATAACCAAAATACCGGAAAAACATTTTGTTCCAGCTATCGTTTTTTAAGAGTGGTGGGATGATATAACCATACAAACGTTAGTGATTTAGGTTTTATCGAGACAACAGTGAATAACAAAAAGCGATTTTTTTAAATTTCTAATTTTTTCTATTTTTGCAGAATGTCGAACGTCGGTCCAATTTCATTTTTCGCAATTTGACTTTTGATTTCTTTTAAAGCTCTGTTCGTTTCCTTTGTTTAAAGGAAGGTAAGTTCCACTATCGAAAAGCTAATATGTAAAGATCGGTTATAAGTTTCGAAAAGGATTCAAGTTTTCAGGTTTCGCAGTGGAATAAAAACAACTCAAAATAACTTAATTTTATCAATAAAATGTCAATCATAAATTGTTCTTGAACTTCAAAGAGATTCCTCAAGCAAGAAACCTCAAGCAAAAACAAGTCATGTTTTTTTGTGTGTGCATTGATTCCTTTCTAATTGTTGGTTGGCTGTTTTTTTTTACTCAAATTTCTTGTCACAATGTTATGAATGGGATTTGTTTTAGTTTTCCTTTGAGACGCTTTGGTAATTTTTTTCTTGAAAATTTAAGTTTTTCTGTAGATTTTTACTCTTGCGAGAGCAAGTGCCTTGTAATCGAGAATTAGATTTTTTCCCCGTAAACAACTTCTACTATGCATCTCTTCTTTATTCACTATTTTCTTCTTTTCTTCTCTTAAAGTCTTTTAGGTTCCTTCTCACTCGGCCTGGGGGTAACGCTGTAGCCTTTGCAACCTAAGGTCTGGGGTTTCAGTCTCAGTCGGACCTTGTTGTTTTTTAATTTTCGCGAGTGCAAATGTCTTGTAATCGGGAACTAGACTTTTCCCGTAAACCACTTTTCTTACACATCTGTAAGAATTTATACTGTTGCCTTATTAGTGAACCTTGGCAACATCGAGACCTTTTCCCAATTGGTTTTCAGGTTTCGCGGATGCTTTTGTCCCAAATGGTCATGGGTTCGAGTCCTAGCAAGAAATGGGTTCAAAGGCAAAAAATGATTGATTTTGTTTGGTAAAATTCAGGTAGTTTTTGTTGCAAGGTTGTAAAACTTAATTGCTCAAAATTTTTTCATTATAATAATTTATTTATTATTATAAATTGGCAACTTAGGTCGCGCTCGATTAATATTAAAAGCTTATCAAATACTGTTGGTTATGTTTTTCGACAGTTTTTCTAAAACTATTTTCATTGTTTCAAAAACTTTTTTTCGATTTTATTATTCTCGTATCATTGTCTGTTCGCTAGCTGGTACTGCAGCATTTGCGATGTATCGCAAGTGATGCGCAACTTAGCTTTGCCGCTGTGTTTTGTATGTATACAATTGAAAAAAATTCGGTAACCTTTGAATTGTCGGACTTTCGTTTGTCGGTTCAAGGTTTGTCAGCTAAAATGGCACATCACGGTTTTTGCTTGTGCAGTAAGCATCTTCCATTGCTGTTGCAAGTTCTGTTCAATTCTATTTTCAAGGGGGCTTGAAATTTAAAAAAAATCAAAATCATTTTTGGTTCAATTGGATTCTGCTCAAAGATAGTCGGCCTAATTGCTAGTACAAGTGTTATTCAAAGTAATTTCAGAGTGGACTTGAAAGTTTTTAAAATACTTTTTTCTCGGCTCCATTTGTTTGCTCACAGGTTGTCAGAGTTCTTCCTATTTGATAAAACAGGTATTATGCAAACAAATATTGGGATCGGGTTTTCAAATTTATCTTTTGAGACGCTTTGCAAAACTTTCTCACTTTTCTTAACAAAAATAGTTCTCTCAAAAAAAGTGATACCAATAGAAAGTCAGAGCTTCCCCCTGTCTGCATGCATAGCCCTCTAGTCTCTCTACCTTACTCTACAGCCTTCGAAAAATTTTTTATCAGAAGTTCATTTCTAAATCACTTTTTTACAGGAGGACAATTTACGTTCTGTTTTAACGCGCGAAAGTTTTATTGATTTGTTTTTCAGATTGCTTTACCAGAATGAATGATTTCCAGTTTCAAAAATGGATTTTCGTTTTTTTTATTGAACCAGTTATCATAAAATAGGTATGGTTTTTCTAAGAAATTGTTGATCGTACAAGATTCATGTTATTCAACGAGACTCTTAAAAATATATATTTCCTTAGAAACCCGAGAGTTAAATTTTCTAAAACAAATATATGTTTGGCCTTCTTGAGTTTTACCTTTCTTAACCTGTCATTTGAAAGTGGCAATGTTGAGAAAGTGGCAATGTTGAGAAAGTGGCAATGTTGTGAAAGTGGCTATCAATAATTACCGTAAACAGCCAAGTTTTTTTTTCAATTATTGTAATTTTTGCTGTTTTTACAGTTATTGCGCTTATTTTGTTGTCAGGTTCACAACTTGTCTAACAAAATTATGAATCATTCGATAGCTCAAGTCATAGCATAATCAAGTTCCTATACTTCTTTGGCAAACTTGGCCTTAAAGTAACGGCTATGCCTAGCAAGTTTAAGGTCGTGGGTTCGAAGCTGGCATGGAATTTTCTTTTCAAATTAAATTTTACCATTCAAAAAAGTGAGCGGCGGCATGTTTTCTGCTTATATTTAAGCGTCTTAGTTACCACAGCGCAAATTTATTTCTTGGTATTGAAACAATGTTCACGTATAACATACCGTTTTGGCTTATGTAATGTCGACGTTGTCCCAAGCTACTGTGTCAATTGAAGCGAAAAGTTTTTTTTATTTTTTTTGTTCTCCGGGGCTTAAAGTTTTTTATGACAACCGTTTTGTTTTGGTTCAACGGGTTTTATCGTAATTTTTTTTGGCATAGTTTTTGCTTGGTTTCTTTTTTGAATGTTTATTCATTATGCTATAGAAAGAAAGAAAGAAAGAAAATTTATTTCTTCAGACATACAAATACATTTACAAAAAAAAATCAAAGAAATTAAGCAATAAAATTTTGGTAAAAGTACGTATTATCTGAAGAGGATAGACTAACGGCAAATTACATGGCCACTAAATGTCTACCCAGTATATACTGATTGAGACATAGAACGTTAATGTGTAAATATAGGATCATTTAAGCAGCAAGTATTTTTGTAAGTAATTGGAGAATTTCATATTTTTACAAAAAGGGCGTTTTCTCGAAAACTAGCAATTTCTGGAAGGTCAAATTTTTGGGGGTAGAATCAGAGCCTCAGATGGGTTTCTGATAGCATCAAGGCCAAGCACCAATTTCTAGGGGTAAAATCAGATCAGCTAAATACGCTATGTACTAACTCACTATTATCTAGGATGTAATTGTCTCTAAAAAACACTCCGATTTTTTCTCCAGATTGCGTGTTGTACACGTAAAGTAATGATGACAAATGCAGAATAATGTTCTGAAATCCTTATTATCTAAAATTATATAATCCCAGCGATCATATTAAGACACTGGTTTGTCAAATTGAGTGTCTAGGGGACGAGTGATGGCATCATCACAACAATTTGACGGCATGTTTAAGTATCTAGCCCATGCGTAAAGTAAGCGATTAGCCCATGCGATTAGTAAGAAGGTAAAGCAAGATCACTGAAGTGAGTAGGAAACTAATGCATTGAAAGCTCAGATTGTGTTGATTGCATATAAAATTTAAGACCAGCAGGAAAAAAATTTAATTAAATTGTAAGTTAAAGGTTGGATGTCAACTCGAACAGAAAACTTGCAATCGATTCATAAGTAAAAACTTCATTTTTTACATTTGTTTAACAAGTCATCCTTGAAGGTGATTTAGGATGCCTAAGCGATGACCAGAAGCTGGATCGATGCGAGAAAAACAAATTAATGAGTGGCGTAGAGAATTTGATAGTAACTACTCGATGAATCAACTCATACTTCATGCAGACAAACAATTGTGGGGTCTTTAGTCATGAGGCATCTAGGAGTTTCAATTTCACCTGAAACAAAATTTTGCTCTTTCGGTTTGTTCGAGATGAGTTTTACGTTCACTCGACCATGCTTTGGAGAGTTAAGCTGGTATTGTACTTTTTATACAAATAAAGTTTGCCCCAAGTTTTTGTCTTATTTTTCATTAGTAGTCGACGCCCTTCAAAATTTCTCTGAAAAATGTCAGGTCTTGTTTCTAAGGTTGCTGCCACTTTTGTTCATTTCTTTCTTTGCTCACTAAACTAGCTCTTGCTTCGTTTTCATTTATTGTTTTAATTTGTGCGTTGGCATAATATTTGTTTGGGACTGGCTCGGATCGTTTCGCAGCTGCACATAAACTGCAGATAACGTATCAGGTGTAACCATAATCCCTAGTAAGATCTTTTCAGTTTTTAAAGGACATTTTCCAGTAGAGCTCGTTTAAAACTTTCATTGATTTGATTTTCTCGTGTTGACATTATTGTGTTTTTGATTTTGCTGGCATTTCGAGATAAAAGGATTGCGAATGTTAATCAGGTGTAAGTCTAATGAAGGGAGTGTATCACCTCGGCAGTGAACCCGAGGTTTCAGAAAATTGAATCCGCACTCCTGGAGTTCTTCAAGTTATCGAAAGTCCTAAGCGTTACGATGTGGGATCAAACTTCGCAGCTCTATCAGAGAATGACCCGATCGGTGCGGAGGCGTGTAGAGTAAACTTGGCGTCCGACGAGGAACGAAGCCAGAGAGGCAGGAAAATAATGGAGCGAAAGCTGGCTCGAAGAAAGCAGAAATGATCCCGAAGCCCGCGAAGCAACGAGGGACAGTTTCTATAATGACCTGGAACATACAAAAAATGTCGCTAAGAGAAACCAACAGAAGAAGATTATTTATTTA